GAGAAGCCCCGAGGAGGGCGGTGGCTGCGGCGGGGGCGGCGTCGGGCGAAGGCGGACACGGAGCCGGGGAGGAGCTGCGGGGCCCGGCAGAGCCTTTCCCGGGAAACAAAACCTGCGGCTTCTCCCGCCTCGGCCCCACGGCGAGGGGCAGCGCAGCAGAGCGGAGCAGCATCCTAGCAGGTGGGGCAGTGCTGGGGGCGCAGGGAAGATGCGGCTGGGGCTGGAGGTAGAGCTTGCAAGCTTCTTACATTTAAATGAACGTGGAAAGCAGGGAGAGAGGTGCTATAAAAGCGCTGCGGGTGCTCGGGCAGGTGAGACATGACTCGGGAGCAGTCGTGAGAAATTCCGCATTTGGAGTTGGGATCCAAAAAGAAGGAACCTGAAACCGCTTTTTCTGATACATCCGTAAGTAAGGGAGGCCATATGAATCTCGCTGCTGTAAGCAGCCAGTAGCTCCCCCGGATATTTTAAGTATTGAAAGTAGTGACTTGTATTTCCTCTGTGCACAAAGTACTTGTTTGTCCCATGCAGAATTCACTGAGGCTGTGAATTGCAATTCAGAGCATCTTCAGGCTCCTACTGCTCGGGGGTGGTGGCGCTTGGTGTGCAGAAAACATCCCAGGCTGTCCGCCTCGGGTCTGGTTGTGCATTTCCACAGCTCCTCAGAGTGTGAAAAGGCCAGGAAGGTGGTGGGAAGGGCTTTCTCCCAGGCCTGGGCATTCTCAAGACACCTTAACGTTTGTTATCTTTTTGTTTCCCAGCCCAGGGCTAAGTTGGAGAAAAGGCAGAGAGGATGCTAAGTGGGAATTCCATTTTTAAATCTGCCCTTGAAATGCTGTTTCTCCTGGCAGATCTGTGCTACCTAAAGTACAAAGGAAGAAGATGTTGGGAGTACCTATTTGTTCACCTGTTGTGCTTGGAAGAGATGTGAAATTCCAGGGAAGCCGCGCTTGCTGGAGTGACTGAAGGGAGAAGCACCTTGTCCGTATTCCCCCCACCGGCGCCTGGTGTGGTCCTTTCCTCTCTGGCTCCTTGTTTCCCTCTTTGTCTCTGCATCCCTCTGTCCTTGCTGTGTGTTCTGCAGTCTGTCTTTTTCTGTGTCCTTCTCCACACCTCACTCACGTGCCTTTTTTATTCCCTTTGGCTCTCTGCTGATCCCCGTGCTGTTGTTTCCTGCTGGATCCTTGTGTCCCGTTTCCTGTGTCCTTTTTCAATCCCTCTCATCACAGGTTTTTTGTTTGAGTGGGGTTTTTTGTTTGTTGCTTTTGGTATTTTTGTTTTGTTGTTGTTATTTTGTTTTATCTATTTCATCCTACACCCCATTCTTTTGTTCTTTCTTTTCTTCCTGTGTCCTCTGTGTCACCACTCTCTCTTTCTGCCTCTGGCCTGTGCCTGGGGTTTTGGGGGAGGGATTTCTGGGACCTGCCCCCCTTTTCTTGTTGCAGCTCCTTTTTGGGAGGGGGTCTAGACCTAGAAAGGCTTCCAATAAAGCAAGGTGCTGCTGTCCAGGGCAGTTGGAGTTGTTCTCTGCCTTCTTTGGGCGTGAGGAGCAAAGGCTGAGGGGGATGGGATGGAGACTGGGAGGCTCCCGTGTCCCTTGGGGCACGCCGAGGTCCCCGCCAGAGGGAGGGACACGCTGCGCTGGAGGAGCAAGGTGAGCGGGGAATGGGGAGGGCTGGTGCTGGGTGCCCTTGCCCAGAGGGGACCCCAAGCTGCCAGGAAATTCCCTGGGAGGGCTGGGTGCAGAATCCAAAAACCTGTGGAGTTGTTCTGGTTTTTACGGTAGGTATTGGCAAGGGACAGGAATTGACCTCTCTAAATCCCCTTGGAAAGGAACCCCCTCTCTGTGCACTCCATCGTTAGGGTTTTGTTATGTCAGGAACAGCTTAGGGTTAAGAAAGTGGGTTTTGTCTTTCCACCTCTTACTTCCCTGTAAAATGGGAGTGTATAAAACACATGTGTGCATCCCTGAGGTATTAAAATGCACCGAGAGAAATTTCTGGGCCTAAGTTCCATAGAGACGAGCGCGTTCTGCACTCGGGGTTGAGTAGGGATTTATATTTTTGTCATTCTGACGTGTTAGCTGAAAGAATTGGGAGAGTTTCCAAGAGAAAGAAATGCAAATTTCAAAAAGCAGAACGTTAGAAAGAGAAATATATAAATGTATATATGTAAAAATAAATATAGGGGAGCAAGATAGATCTATATATATAGAGAGAGAGAGAGAGCCATAAAAAAGAAAGAAATACAAGTAATCCAAGTCTAGACAAGCAGATTAATATTCAGTATGAAAACTATATGGATAGATGCTAATATAATATACTTTAATATCTGTTATGTATGATATCTATGTGTATAGATAAAGAAGATCAATATGATAGAAATAAATATTACAAATATTTAAATGTAGGGGCTTTTTGTTTTTTATTTGGATAGAGGCATGGCATATAAATGAATAATATAGGAATGAAAATATACACATCTATAATAAAGAAATAAATATAGGGAGATAGATAGATAGATAGATAGAGAGAAAGAGAGAGAAAGAGAGAGAGAGATAGCCATAAAAAAGAAATAAACACAAATTATCTATATCTAGACAAGTAAATTAATGATCAGTATGAAAACTATATAGATAGATGGTAATGTGCTTTAATATCTGTTATGCATTATATCTGTGTGTATAAATATAGAAGATCAATATTATAGAAATAGATATTATAAATCTTTCAATCAAGGGAATTACTGGTTTTTATTTGGATACAGGCATGGCATTTAAATGAATAATATAGAAATGAAAATATACACATCTATAATAAAGAAATAGATATAGGGAGATATATATATATAGAGAGAGAGAGAGCCATAAAAAAGAAGTAAATACAGATCATCTAAATCTAGAAAAATCGATTAATATTCAGTATGAAAACTATATGGATAGATGCTAATATAATATATTTTAATATTAGTTATGTCTGTTATCTATGTGTATAGATAAAGAAGATCAATATGATAGAAATAAATATTACAAATATTTAAATGTAGGGGCTTTTTGTTTTTTATTTGGATAGAGGCATGGCATATAAATGAATAATATAGAAATGAAAATATACACATCTATAATAAAGAAATAAATATAGGGAGATAGATTAGGAGATAGATAGATAGATAGAAAGAGAGAAAGAGAGAGAAAGAGAGAGAGAGAGCCATAAAAAAGAAATAAGTACCAGTAATCCAAATCTGGACAGATAAATTAATAATCAGTATGAAAACTATACAGATAGATATACAGATAGGTAATGTACTTTAATATCTGTTATGCATTATATCTGTGTGTACAAATATAGAAGATCAATATTATAGAAATAGATATTAAAAACATTTAAAACAAGGGTTTAATTGGTTTTTGATTTGGTTAGAGGCTTAGAGGCAGGGCTTTTAAATGATTAATATAGAAATGAAAATATACACGTCTATAATAAAGAAATAAATATAGGGAGATAGATAGATAGATAGATAGATAGATAGATAGATAGATAGATAGATAGATAGATAGAGAAAGAGAGAGAGAGATATATAGCCATAAAAAAGAAATAAACACAAATTATCTATATCTAGACAAGCTGGTTAATATTCAATATGAAAAATATACGGATAGATGGTAATGTATTTTAATATCTGTTGTGCA